TGCAGTCATAGCGCCCAACTGAAAGACATCATGGGGTTAAGGGCCTTCTACAGAAGGGGCATCCCTTTAGGTCATTTCTGGTGTTCCAGTCTTCTCTACCTCGGTCCAACAGCACTTCCTTTGGACAAAAAATAAAATAAGCAACAGCCATCATATGTGGGCAAGTAGATTTGAATAATTTTTTTCCACAGGGAATCAGCCTCAGACTCCCATCTTTCAACTGCCTCTGCCACATGTCCACCCTAACTGCTTTAAGTAATAAAAAATGCCTCTCTGTTCTCTCTGGGCAAAATGTAAAGTAGAGAAGTACCATAAGAAACCTGTCACCTTTCCCCCTCTGCGGTACCTCTATTTAGGGTGCAGGTATCTTCCCCTTTGCATCCCATCAAAGTATCTCTGTAAAAAATCCCTTACACAGGAGAATGTGACCCAAAGTGTTAGCTTTACCCAGACCTGTTTACATTTTAAGTGTTCTGATAGCTGATAGTGGAAGTGGAAGGAAAATCTTTTCCCTGTTAAAATGATGTTATGTCATTTGGGAGCTGAAGAGGTGATATAATTTGGGACAAAAATCCTTCCCTTTCCAGCACTCGTGCAATCAAACTGCTGTTACCTATTTGTATCAAGGACAGGTGAGCCCTGACAGAACCATAGGTACCAGAAGATAGGTTCTTTCCATCTCTGGATGAGTGTGAGTGGGATTGGGCAATAACAGAAAAGTAAAATCTATTCTCTTAGACCCCTTATTGATCCTGAGCTGGCAAAATTTCTTTCTTTTCCCTGGAATGCTCTAATAGGCCTAGGTTCTCAAAATGTCTGATTTCTGGTCCAGCAGCATCAATATCACCTGGGAGCTTATTTTAAAAATGCAAATTCTCAGGTACCACCCGAAATACACTGAATTATAAACTAGGAGTGGGATAATACAGGAAAGCTCAGCAATTAGTCTTTTAGCCTATCTTCCTGGATCTCTGAGGTATGCTAATGTTTAAAAACCTCTGGCTCAGAGATCCAAATTCCATTCCAATCAGTGGTATCACACCCTCTTCAATGTTGTCAGATTGATTTTTCTGTAACCTCTCCAAGCTAGTTGTTTTTCAGTTGTGTTCCTCTTGAGTTCCAAGGCCTGCCTTCACTCTTTAATCAGTGAAAGACTGGGTCAGTCACCAATTTCAGAAACTGGAGGGACAACTACCAAGTTGCTGTGATTGATTGGGGCTGGAGCTTCTAAAGTGGACACTGAGGATTTGTGGGTCCAAAAATCTGAAAGGACAAAAGGAACAGACACACCAGAGAAAGGAAATCCAATAGAAAGCTGAAAAACTGACAACCAAGGAAATGATCCTCCTTTGCTAGTTATCTGGTCCTTTTCTGGGCCTAATAGTTGCCCTGGAGGCAGACTAGGTGAGCATTCAACACAGAGGTAGGGAGTAAAGCCAACTGTCCCAAACCCTTAAGAATCCAAGTTTTTCAACTTCAGAATGCACTAGAGTTGGAGAACAATAAGGTGCTATGCAAGGAATTTCTAACCAGGATTTGGTCTGTTGGAGCATTAGGGAGCCCTGAGGACACAAGAGGGAACCAGACTCATTTAGTAAGATGTGACTCAAGGGAGATTTGAACCCAGACTCTATTAGGTAGAGATTGTAACCCATCAAGCCATGGCACGTATGTCAAAAACATTCTCCTGTCCTGGCCAGGATGGCTCAGCTGGTTGGACATGGGAAGATAGCCATTTTGATTCCTTGTCAGGGCATATGCCTGGGTTGTAAGCTCGATCCCTACAGGGGATCATGCAGGAGGCAGTTGATTGCTGTTAACGCTCTCACATCAATATTTCTCTCCTGCTCCCTTTCTCTCAAAATCAGTAAAAATAATAATAATAATAATAATAAATCTTTAAAAATTATTTATTTAAAACACACCTCATTCTCCTACTTTGAAGATTCTGTCCAACTCAGGCTTCAGGAAGGGATTGTTACCTCCTCCAGCTCCTCTCCTAGGCCTCCTCATGAGGACAGGCTGAAATGAAAGTTGCAAACCTGCCACCCCTATGGAGATCTCCAAGGCCAGAAGGTTAGAAAGAACCTACCTCTCTGGGGGAGGTGATCAGCCCCTCTCCCCTAAGGCAGAAAAAAGCTTGGCTACTGCTTGCTTCAGCTCCAAACCTCAGGCTCTTTCTTTCCCTTCTTGTCACCACTTCCATATTCCCAATAAAAGGAGCTCTTCCCCTACTCTTTTTTGAAGGACACGTTTTATTTATTTATTTATTTATTTATTTATTTATTTATTTATTTATTTATTTATCTATCTATTTATTTAGAGAGAGAGGGAGAAACATAGACACGAGAGTGAAACATTGATCGAATGCTGCCACACACCTTGACCTGGAACTGAACCCACAACCTGGGTATGTTCCCTGCCTGGCAGGGAATCAAACCTACAACCTTTTGGTATGTGGGACAACAGTCCAATCAACTGAGCCATTCTGGCCAGGGCAGCTTTCTATATACTCTTATCTCCCACTTCTCTTTTTCAGATCGATTGGTTTGGTTTGGTATTTTCTTTTGTTTTTATCTGGGAAATACCACACCTTCCTGAGAGTGTTTGTTCTTCCCAGTCCCTGTCTCCCTTCTATCATAGTTTCTCTCTCTTGTCCAGTTTCTTTTCTGTCAGCCTTAACCTTACTAAGTAGGGTCCATTAGGTCCTCAGGTTACGTGGGAGATCCCTTCCTACGGCGTGACATAACTTGATTATTGCTATAAGTCGGAACCCACCTACATAAGCACCCATGTCACTCACATGGAGCACACATCCAGCAGTAATGAAGTGAAACAGGAAAAAAAAATTAAAGGAAGATAACAATTTCTGACCTTTACTTGTGGTAAATACAGTAAATAATAAACATATGTGCATATGTTAAAGTGATGGAACTTTTTTTTTTAATGTATAAATAAATGGAAGATGGCAACATAACCATGAAATGACATAACCTGAGGACTACCTGTACTTCCCACTTTCTTTTCTCAAATTCTTGGCTTGGCTATAGCAGCTTAGCTACCATCTCATACCATTCTACATCTCTCTCTCTCATATCCAGACTTGGCCAAAGTTGTTGGTACTGTCAAATCCAGGCCCTTTACTCCATTCCCTACAGGTTCTTCTTCCCTTGATGTAACTTCCGAAGTGGCTTTCTACTTTTCACTATTTTGATTATTCAGTCCCTTCCTATCTCTTGTGGCTCCTGGGAAGTAGTTCCAATTCTACAAGCCATTTTTTGAGTTATTCGCTACATGCTAGGCACTGGCTGTTCCAGGCCTGGGAGATTGTGATCAGGGGCCTGTGCTCAGCATGTTCCTCAGCGGAGCCCTCCCCGGCCATCACTTTCCTGCCAGGCCTCATGACACTGTGCGCCAAGGTGCTCTTTTCCAGGAAGCATTGGGTATATGCCTACTTGCCATCCAGCCCAATTGCTCCGTGCCTGCCAGATTTCTAGCAATTGTCTGACTTTATTTCCTCAGATGGACTGTGAACCTCCCACAGGTGACTTTGTCTGTATCCTTAGGGATCTATTATACACTCTTTATGGTCCCTGCCATTGAATAAAGAATATATTGACTCAGTCTCTGATTTCCTCTGTTGGGTCCTCTCCTCTACTCTCCCCCCCATTCTCAGCAATTCAGTCCTGAATTAAAAAAAAACAAAAACAAAAAACAACTACACAAAAACTGCAACAGGGTAGGGACCGAGACAGCTCAGGGAAATCCCAGGGGAAGTAAGGCAGCCATGTGTGAGTCCCCTCGCTGTCCTTCCTGAAACATAAACCCTCAACGCATCACAGTACAGGCCTCTCTGCCTGCCTCCCTCCTCCCGAAGTCCTGGCTCCCAGATGTCACTCCTCAGTCAGTTGGGGATTCAACTCATCCTGGAGGCTAAGGTAGCAGAGCATAGAGCTGGGCCAGGCTTAGGGGAAGGCCAGGTCAGGTGCGTGAGGGCCTAGGGCGCAAATTTAAGGAAGCCCTTGGTCTCTGGGTTATTCAAGTGCCGAGTCTCCTCTTGGGAGACCCTTAGTATGCTGAACCCTTAAAAGCTAGACAGCTGAGTCTGGAACCAGCTGGTGCTGGTGACTGCAAAATAACTTCCTAGGCAAACTCACAATATTTGGTGATTTGGGGGAGCCAGAGGAGATGCACACAGATGGGGTTAGGCACGAACTGCATCCACCAGATGCACTCACTTTTGAGGGTGAAGAGGTCGGGTATCTGGCAGGTTATGAAGAACATAGAGCAAGAAATAGTGTGGGAGAAAATATGGAAAGTTGACTGGGGAGAAACCACCTTTGACCCACTGACATGGCCTTTCAGCCCTGGAGCTTCCCTGGGGCAGGGAGAGGGAGCCGCTTGGCTGGCCTTGGCACAAGCCAAAGGCTTTGCTCTTCCTGAATGGAAGTTGCCTTGAAGAGCTTCAAGCCTACTGTTTGGGGGGCTGCTTCCCCTCTGCAGCTTTCCCAACACCAGCCAGATTGTTTTGTTACCTGCCTCCGTGTAATGTTTTCCTGTTTTCTTGCAGTTCACTTTCACTCCTCCTTCATTTCTAGTGTCTGTGTCTCCTCTACAAGTCACTTGGAGTAAAATTTTCGACTAGTCTGGTCTTTCCCCTAATTAAAAGGGGGAGGAGGGAAGGACTTACTTGATAAAAAGGGGAGGAGAAACAGTGATTGTTCATGGAGGTGCCTGTTCTCTTAGCCAGCTTCAGTGGACTGCTGAAGGCCTGACTTCTTCTCTCAGATCACTGCCTCTCCCAGGCTCACCCAAGGCCTCCCACTGACACCTCCCTCCCCTCAGTCTTCAGGTCTTCTCTTCCAGGTCCTTTCCCCACATGTTAATTTCCAAACAACCTATCTTCCTGTCCTTGCTAGGATGGACAGGATTTGATAGATTTTGGCTGGCGTAATCTCCAGCCCAACCAGACAGCCGTGCCATGTTAGAGTTCCCCAGAGGAGGAGAAAGAACTCTATTGCTTTGAGAACACTGACAAATGTTCTGAAAGCACCTCCCTACCATGTGTTTGAGAACATCCTGCAAGAAAACACTAAATCATTAAAATATTCAGTGTAGAAATGAATTCTAAATTTCACACCTTTACCTACATAAAAAAGATGTTCAGCCGGGACCGGTTTGGCTCAGTGGATCGAGCGTCGGCTTGGGGACTGAAGGGTCCCAGGTTCGATTCTGGTTGACCGGAATGTACCTTGGTTGCGGCATATCCCCAGAAGGGGGTGTGCAAGAGGCAGCTGATTGATGACTCTCTCTCATCAATGTTTCTAACTCTCTATCTCTCTCCCTTCCTCTCTGTACAAAATCACTAAAAATATATTAAAAAAAAAAAAAAAAAAAAAAGATGTTCATAGAGTTAAAGAGTAGATGGTGAGGCCCCATTCAATATTTCTAACTATAGTAAAGAGAGCACTGAAGTTCCTATTAAAAGTCCACTTCTAGCCCTAACCAGTTTGGCTCAGTGGATAGAGTGTCCACCTGTGGACCAAAGGGTCCCATGTTCTATTCCAGTCAAGACTGGTCAGGGCACATGCAGGAAGCAACCAAATTTACTGTTGGTCACGGCACGTGCAGGAGGCAACCAATAGATATGAAACACGTTGATATTTCTGTCTTTCCCTCTCTTCCACTTTCTCTAAAAACCAATGGAAAAACATCTTTGGGTGAGGATTTAAAAAAAAAGTCAATTTCTAAATTGTACATTTTCTAAACATTAGCGTTTTCACTTAAGATCTAAGAGATTGAGATGAAGGTGAAATGAAATAATGCATACAAAAGCACAAATCATCTTATAAATGAAAAAGCTATAGTTGATGATTATGTGGACATTTCTACACAATTTATATGATTCTGAAAACAAAAGAAATATAATAAAAAGTCTAATTTCTGTGCCTCCTCTACAATTCCCATTACCTTCCCCTAACAACAGAAGACCATTTTTTTGTGTGTGTATCCTTTCAAAGTTTCTTTATACAATACAAAGAAATACATTTCTGTTCATTGGTATGATCATCTTGATTTTTTCCCCACTTAATGTATCTTGGGGAGCTTTTCATAATAATACATAGAAAACGACCCCTTTTTTTATAGCTTCATGCTACTTTACTGGAGGAAAGCTCCATGCTTTAACCTATCTCCTTATGGTAGTTAGATTATTTCCTTTTTTGTTGTTGTTGCTGCAATGCTGCACCAAATACCTTGAACATAAGTGTTTTCACCAATGCACTAATATCTAAAAGGTGAATTCCTAAGTGTAATTCAGCTGGGTCACAGGATATCTGAATTTGCAATTTGGAAAGTTAAGTTCCCTCTGTTGGGGTGGCGAAGATTTACACTCCCACTAACTCTGTATGTGAGTGCTGGTTTCCTCACAGCCTCACCAATGGAGTAGGTTCCCAAACATCTTTGGATTGATTAAAATTACTGTTTAATGTGCATTTCTCTTAGGAGTAAAATTGCACATTTTTCATATTTATAAAGGCCATTTGTTAACTTTTTTCCAATAACCATGAAATATTTGATGCTAGAGAGCATTTAAGGTTCATTACAACTCTAAAGTCCAACAATTTTCCCATCATCATTGCACTAGGCTGTTGAGATAAAAGGGAAGCAAAGAATTGAGGTCACAGATGTTCCATTTACTCTGACTAAAATTAAATACCAAATATGCCACTACATTGTGAGCAATGAAAAGTGGGAATTATGTTTTACCCACCTTCATTCCCAGCAAAGGACCCAGCATATTGCAGGACTTAGTCATAGTGAACAGTAGTGCTGAACCAGCTATTCTTGGGAATTCCTCTCACGGAAGTACCCAGCGAGAATTAGGATCTAGATAATTCTGATAGCCTGTCAGTGAGATAAGATTGTTTCTTCTTTTTCATTGGAGCACAGCCACCTTAAAGCTTATTAATGAAAAATAATCTGAAATGATCATTGTTAGCTATATAAGATCAGGGTCTGTCATTTAATAAATTTGGTAAGTTTACTAATAAATGAAGTAATTATAATATAAACAGAACAGAAGAGTGATGTTCTTAGGAAATCTAGAAAACAAATTGTTGCAAGTGTTTGTTCTTTCCTACCTATCTTAGGGGAAAAGACATCCTAATTCTAGACCATCTAGTTCTTTAGGTAAAAATAACGGGGACTAAAAAGGGGCAATACATGTGGCTATCATAAGAACATTTAAGTTTGCTCTAATTGTGTTTCTCACTGCCTCTTTTAGATGGCTCTCTAGTCTTTTTTTCTTTAAATGTTTATATTTCAATTACAATACAATTTAATATCACTATATAATAGTTTCAGGTGTATGGCAGGATGGTTAGATATTTATATAATTTATGAAGTGATCCCTCTGATAAATAGTACCCACCTGGCACCCCATACATAGTTATTACAGCATTATTGACTATCTTTCTATGGGGTACTTCAAAGCCCCCATGACTATTTTGTAACATCCAATTTGTACTTCTTAATCTCTTCAGATGGCTCCCTATTCTGATTCTGATTCTGCTTGCTTCGTTCTGCTGCTCACAGACAATGTAAGAGCACAATAAATCTAATTACAGCAGGGGGGGATTTTAAAGTTCAAGTCATCTATGGATGAGAGACATATCAGACTCTTCTGGGAAAAGTTGGGTTTGGCATACTCTGCAAAAAGCTTTCCGAGTTGTTCTAACACTTTCCCACCTCCCACCTTCACTCACCTCTTTTCAGAATAAAAAGCACCTACTAGGTGCTTCCTTTTTCCCCTTCCCCCACTCCTTTGGCTTCAGCTGGAAACATCATTTCCCTGAACCAACTACTCTGCTGTTTCCTGATAGGTCTTCCCTTCCTCCAGTTGATGACAGACGTAAATCCCACCTGCAGCCAGACATTCTGAGCTCTGAACCACCAATCAGCACCTGCCAAATACCCTAAGCCCCCGATCCTAAGTCCCTAGGTCCCTAATCACCAATCAGCGTGTGCTGAGTGCCCTATCCTTAAAGGTGCTTGTACCCCCGGCCCTCGCTCTCTTCCACCCCTCTCTCTGGAAGCAGCCTGCAGGGGTACCCTTCTCCCCAATAAAGCCTGTGTGTGTCCTGCCATCCGGTCTCCGGCTACCCTCTCTGTTTAATCTATCATTTCCCTTCCTAGCAACCTTGTGTATCCCGCAAGCAACCTTGGCTTATTCCAAAACCTTGGGATATCTGGAGTGTCCCAGTGAACTGAGCTACCTGGCCAGGGCTCCCTAGGAATCATTCCTGTGTCCTGTCATGGCCTATGGCATGAGAACTACTCCCATCTATTCTTAACTCCTACATTCAGAACTAAAAGGAATCATACATTTGTTCCATATTTTATATATAGTGTTCAATACATGGTTTTGTTTTGTTTTTGTTTTGTTTTGTTTTGTTTTGTTTTCAGAAAAGCAAAAGAACTAGCTATTCATTATCTGAACTTTCCCATTTGCTTGTATTTCTGGGTTATAAATCTTAATAGTTTACTCTCTAGGAGTTGGTACTTTCCCAGTTGAAAATTCCCTTATTGAATTTTGTCAATCAAAGCATTATGTGATATTTAAGTCCTTCTTATTCTACTGATACTTAAAATCATTCTAGTTCAATCCCAATTTTTTCCTTCCTTCCTTCCTTCCTTCCTTCCTTCCTTCCTTCCTTCCTTCCTTCCTTCCTTCCTTCCTTCCTTCCTTCCTTCCTTCTCTCTTTCTCAGAGAAGGAAACCATGCCCATGAATGGTTAAGTAGTAATTCAGCTACGCTTAGAGTGGCTAGAGTGGCGGAACTTTTACTAGAACCTGGTGTCATTAAGTACTGATCCAGCCGAAACCAGTTTGGCTCAGTGGTAGAGCATCGGTCTGCAGACTGAAAGGTCCCGAGTTCGATTCCGGTCAAATGCACATACCTTGGTTGCGAGCACATCCCCGGTAGCGGGTGTGCAAGAGGCAGCTGGTCGATGTTTCTCTCTCATCGACGTCTCTATCTCCCTTCCTCTCGGTAAAAAATCAATAAAATATATATTTTTTTTTAAAAAAGTACTGATCCAGCGGGTTTCTGCTATAGCTGGTTGACACTCAATCAAGCATTATTGATACTCATTTAACTCTCAGTGATGAGACAGACGTATGCTTCACACATACTCATTTAACTGAGGATTAATATATAAAACATTTAAAAAATTGCCAGGGCAAAAATCTAAAAGCCATTGACAATCCATTCTGGGAGAAGAGACTTTTTCCTAAAAGGAATTTCAGGTAAGAACACTTTGGGTCAGAGACACCACTCAACGTAAAGGCTGTCTCCTCTTGCCCCAGGGATTCCTCCACGTCTCTCCTTACATGCCCTCTCCCCCAAACTCAATAGGGAGCTGCTAGGGTATCTAACATTAATTCAATACTTCTAACACCATGAATTACTGGTTTCCTTCTGAAAGGCATTTTCCTGGCCCTGTAGCAGGAACAGAACCTCCACGACTTGACCTCCCTTCACCTCACCTGTCCCAGCCACAAGGCCTCACCAACCACCCCCACCACGCCCCCACGCCCCCACGCGGGGAAAGAGGAAACGGACACCATATGGTGATTTGAAAGGTCTTGTGAATAGTTAGTCCATTTCAACGCGTGTGGGAGCTGCTCTAACAGGAACCACATGGGGAGAGAAAGGCCTCTGTGCCTGGAGGAAGGGAAGATGCTCCCACACGAAGGGGCCCACGGGCTTTCAGGTGCAGCAGCGGGTGCGGGCGGCCCGAGGGCCGGTCCTCAGGGAAGCTGACCTCTGGCGGGGCCGCTTTGCCGGCTTCTCGGGGTCCAGCTTCTTCTCTTCCCGTGGTCTCTTCCCTCGGGACCGGGACCTGTCTTCTTTCACGGCCCTCCCTCTGCCCCTGTCCATCACCTTGGCCCTGGCGTCCTTGGCTCTGGCGTCCTTGGCCTTTGCGTCCTTGGCCCTGATGTCCTTGGCCGTCGTGTCCTTGGCCCTGGGACGCACCTGGCCCCGGACTCTGGGCCGCAGCCTCCTCAGGGCGCTGCTGACCCGCGCGTCCCGCCTCCAGACCTCCCGGGCCCGCCGCGCCGCCTTCCGACAGCGCACGCGGCGGCGCCTCCGCGGGCTGCGCAGCCCCGAGGGCGTCCTGCAGGGCCGGGCGCTCTCTTCCGACTTCGGGCGCCCCGGCTTCCTCTTGGGCTTCGGGGGCTTCCAGACGCGCAGGTAGCCGGAGGTGTGGCTGCCGCTGACCCTGATGAGGGTGCCCGGGAAGCCGGCCGCGCGCGCCCCGCCGCCGCGGCGCCGGCACCGCCTGCGCACCTGGTAGCCCGCGTGGCCCAGCTCCCGCCGCAGCGCCGCCACCGTGAGCCGCTTGTGCGAGGCGATGGCCCCGAGCAGCAGCTGGGACACCCTGAGCACCGAGCGCGAGTCCCGCCGCGGCCGCGCCGCCGCGAGGGTCTTCTCCGGGGCCGGCTGGGCTTTCACTTCGGCGCCTGGGGATGCGCCGCTGGGCTCCGCCTTCTCCGCCCCGGCTCCGGTCCCGGTCCCGGTCCCGGCTGCAGCCTCTGCATCTGCCCCTGCCCCGGTCCCTGCCTCTGCCCCGGTCCCGGCTACAGCCCCGGCCACAGTCCCGGTCCCGGTCCCGGTCCTGGTCCCGGCTACAGCCCCGGTCCCGGTCACAGCTCCGATCCCGGCCACGATCCCGGCCACAATGCCGGTCACAGTCCGGGTCCCGGCCACAGTCCCGGTCCCGGCCACAGTCCCGGTCCCGGCCACAGTCCCGGCCACAGTCCCGGTCCCGGCCACAGTCCCGGTCCCGGCCACAGTCCCGGCCGCGGCCGCCTCCGCCATGGCCCACCCAGCTCAGCTCCGCGGGGCGCAGGGCTGGGGGCGCACCTACCCCAGCTGAGCTCGGGCGGAGGCGGGGCCACGTCACAAAGGCCGGCCAGCGGGAGGGTCAGTTCTGGGAGCGGGCTGGCAGCTCCCTCCCGGGCAGGGGCTTTTTTTCTTTTTTTTTTTTACTTTTAGCCACCTACCACTTCCTGATGGGTCTAAACCCTCCAGATCTCCCACTCCGATACCCCCAGAGAAATCATCTTCATTATCTCCCGGAGTTTGTTCCCTACTCTTATGCTCGCACACTTCTCATGGGTCTTGATCTCGACCACTTTTTGACATTCACCAGTTTTCTGGGGAAAAGTAGTGCACACCATCTACCCATACTTCCCTAAGGCGAGAGACACTGCGCTCCACTATCCCAAACGAGCCGCACATGCCTTACGGAGTGAATGTGGTAGGTGGTCCATAAAACACACCAGCCTAGAAAGGCCCGCGGTTAGGTCCCGTCAGCTGTGTCTGCAGCCATGTCTCCCTGACTCTCCACAAAGGACGGAACCACAGTGGTACCCACTCCTAGGAAGTTCAGATGCCTCATTCCATTGGGTTGGAACAACCAGATTCCAAATAGCCTAAGAACACTGGTCTAAACATTGTTGAACAGCCTTGGTGCTTATCTCCCTCCAGTGCCTCTTCTGGGATTGCACATCCCCTTTCTCTGCCTAGATGATCCTGTTAATGATTTCTCTCCTCTTAACTACCACAATTACTTTTACACTCCTATACTGCTTACTCTTTATTTTAAATTAATTTGGTAGAGGGTACAATGTGCCACTATTGTACCCTCAAAAGACAAGCAAACAAACAAAAAAGCCAACAACCCTGGACGTGAAGCTGGAAAACATAGTTACATATCTTAATTCCTTCCTTCCTTCCTTCCTTCCTTCCTTCCTTCCTTCCTTCCTTCCTTCCTTCCTTCCTTCCTTCCTTCCTTTCTTTCTTTTTTCTTATGTTTATTGTTTTTAAGAGAGAGAGGAAGGGAGAGGGATAGAAACATTGATGAGAGAGAAACATTATTGATTGGCTGCCTTCTGCCTGCCCCCTTCTGGGGATGGAGCTCAAAATCTGGGCATGTTTTCCTGACCAAGGAATCAAAGCCCCGATTTCCAGGTTCTTTGGGTTGACGCTCAATGATTGAGCCACACTGGCCGGGCCATATCTTAATTATTTTACAGCCATATGGCATTGATAAATCCCTTATTATCTTTGGATCTAATTTCTTAAAAACAAAAAGCCAGTAATCCTTCCCTACCAACATCACATAATTATTTCAATGGCTCAGAGAAGGTGATGGTAGATGACAAAAGGCATGAATTGTTTTATTCTGGCTGTTTGTCTTTCCAACTAAATTTAAAAAATTTCCCGAGAGCCAGGCAGTCTTTCAATTCTATGTCTCATCCTGCACCTAACACTATCATTCATCATACAGAGCAGGCATTTGGTTGAGTGTGCTAAGCTTCTGGTGAGGAGGCTTTCTCTGGATTCAGAAGAAAACACCCAGAAAATCAGTAGAACAGAGCAGAATGGATTTCAAATGGTTGGAAACGAAGGGACCAAGGAAGCTAGCTGCTCAAGGATTTCTTATTTTGGACACTGTTTAATTGGGACTAACTGATAGAATTATTCAAAGAATACTTCAAATTGCAAAGTATTTCATACTTTTCCAGAGGACATTCACATATACTCTACAGTCTACTGTGACATAGTTTCTTCCAGGAATCAAAGTTCTAGGAAGTAGCTTAGACCTGCACTTCTTAAACATTAATGCACATTTCATAGTGTAAATTCTAGTAATTAGGTCTGGGATGGGGCCAGAAGGTGTACTTTTTAACGAACGCCCAGGCAGTTCTATCTGGTTAAAATACAAGTAAGTGTTGTGGTGGTGGGTGGGGTATAGCAGGAGATGATATTGGAAAGGGGCGTAGGGCTGAGATGTGAAGGACAGATACCATAATGACACAGAACATTAAGTGGTAAAGTTTGGATTCAAATTGAAGTCTATTTAATTCTAAGGCCTGAATTCTTAACTACAATACTGTGCTTGGTTTCCCTTTTGCTAAGATTGACCCTCCCCATCTTACATATCTCTATTATCTCCTAATCACAGCTTAAAATCATGAGTATCTACAAACATTCACTGTACCTTCTCCCAAAAGAGCACTGTAAACCTGAGGGTCTCCAAGGAGAGGGGACTAACACATAGACAGGGCAGCATGGAAGGGTTGCCAGATGGAGAGGCAGAGCCACATGGAGTGGGATTTCTCCTATTTGTGTAGTCTCTTGATCTGAATATACTTCCTGGTTGCATAGGTCAGTGGCCACAGGATGGGGCAACCACGAGGAGAAAAAAGAGACAAAACTGTATATTTTGAGAGTAGGAGGAAAGTGGAGTCTGACCTTCAAATCAGCTCATTCCAGATTGGCTGCACACAATGGTATCATCATGAAAGACAAGAACCAAGTCAAACCACCATTGTATTAATACCCCTGCAATTGTAAAGGAGGCCAATTAGCCTGAAATGAAAGAAAAATAAATATATGAAAAACATATAAAAAAACACCTATGGCAAAAAAAAATCAAATATTTTCACTTATATATAATCATTTACTTCTATATAGATTTCTGTTTAAATCTCTCAGCAATTAATCTGAAAATATCTTTGATGAAGCAATAAAAAATTATTTTATTAAATCTTAATCCTTGAGTACCCTTCTTTTTAACATTCTGTGTGAAAACAAAGCATTTCTGCTATATGCTGAAGTTTAGTGATTGTCTCAAGGATAAGCCTCTGTGCAATTGTTTGAGTTTTGAGGTGAATTAGCCACATTTTTATGAAAGACCATTTGTACTTGAAAGAACGACTGAAATACAAACAATAGTTATCAAAATTAGGTATTTACCAAACTTTCTTAGAAATTAATAAAGTGACTATAATTTCATATAAAACAACTCACATAATTTATTGCTAATGGTAAAATCATTTTTGGACAAAAAATAACATTTTAGAAGAGCTTTATTACCTAAAATAAATTTGACACTATCCCAACACTTCCTGTTGAGATCAGTGGTGATATTAACAATTATGATTTTTGGATAACTCATAGTAAAATATGTCAGTCTGTGAGAGGTCTGCCTAACTCAATGAACTAATATTTTCCAAATGGCCAATGCATTGCAATTTTACAACGTAAGGTTACAGAATTCTGTATGGGTAAAAGAAGAGATACCCTTGGTTTTTGATGTTACAGGGTATGAAAAGTTCATTGATATAGTCTCAGATTTCACATTGCAACTAACCTTTTTTTTTGGGGGGGGGGAAGGGATCTCATTTGATATGCACATGAGAACTCACATTGGGGAAAATCCCATTATTGTAATTAATAGAGAAAGTCCTTCAGAAGAAGCTTTTCCCTTACTGTATACAACAGAATAAAAAATGGAACTCAGTAACTTTGGGAAAGCCTTGAGTGTTACTTCACCCCTTAGGAAGCATGACAAACCATACCAGACAAAAACCCTATGAGTGTAACCAGTACAGTAAGGTCCCAAAAGCGAGACGGCTGGTCACCTTACAGTATAGAAAAATCTTTCTGCTGTAGTTCTTGACTTACCATGAATGAGAGAATACTCAGTGGGGAGAATCCCTATGAACATTGAGTGCTGAAAAGTATTTATTGCTCCTTCACCTCTTAGGTAACAAAAGACCATTCACAGTGGACAGAAATCTTAAGAATGTAACAATGAGTATAGGACAATTTCTCTCTCCTTAGGTAATAGAGATAAGTACTTAAATATCACTAATGTGAATGAGCCTTCCATTTTGTACAAGATAAGTTACACAACAGGAACACATCAGGAATGTGACCCCTCATTATTTACATTGGAGAGAATTCCTTTAATGTAATTAGCAGGGCCAACTTCATGAACATGTGACTAATGCTGTCATACAGGGCTCCATGCTTGAAGTTTGATACTGAGGTTGTCATCTTAAAGTTCTTAATAATATTATTGTGAGTTTGTGTTTTCTTTTTATTTCTTTAAATATATTTTATTGATTTTTACAGAGAGGAAGGGAGAAGGATAGAGTTAAAAACATCGATAAGAGAGAAACATCGATCAGCTACCTCCTGCACACCCTCTACTGGGGATGTGCCCTTGACCGGAATGGAACCCAGGACCCTTCAGTCCACAAGCTGACACTCCATCCACTAGCCAAACCGGCCAGGGCTCAACAATAAAGATTTTAAAACAAATAAAGACCATGTCGAGGAGATCAGTGAGCTCTTCTACAATATCAACTCATTGGCCAAAATCCTGACTGACCGGCAGGATTAGTACATGAAATGAATCTTTTTTGCAAAGTGACACTCCTCAGCGTGGCTGGGCCTGGCTACCGGCTGAGATACAGGACTCACCCCTGGCCTTCAGATTCTGTTCCCACTTGGGTGTGGTTAGCAGCAAGTTCAGTGTGCTAAATGCTTCTTTTTAAATTTCTCCCTTGGTTGCTTTGAAGGAACCCTGCCTCACCTGGCATGTTTTATAATAAATCTTTATGGGATATTTTGATGGGGGGAAATTCTCTAGAGACTTGACCAAGTTTTAGGATGGCAGAAAGAATTTTAAATTTTAGCAAAAATTTTAGATTTCAAGATTAAGATCCAAAGACTTTAATTATCCAGAAGAGGGTAAAAACTTCCTTCATCTCACATTTCAGAATCCTAAAATATGACTTTCCAGAAGAAAAGATAAAATGTTGAGTTTGTTGAGAATTATTTTTTTGGCACTTTGCAAATTTTCAGATATACCTGTCCCTCTTCCCCAATCCACCAGCTGCTTTTATCTAGCCATACTTCATATATATGCTCCTCATTCAATGGGTCCTTGTTCCTGATCCAGTCACCTTAAGATTCTTAAGATACAGGCACCAAGTCTCCTTATGATGTGCCAATAACAG